GAGCTACTCGCAGTGCTACGTGTGCTACTGCCGCCTGCACCCGCGCACCGGTCACCTGCCCAGGATGCAGTGCGCGCAGTGCAAGAACAGGTTCCACGCGCCCTGCATGGTACGTGCCCCGCTCTATCTCTCTCTCTCTCTGTCTCTGTCTCTGTCTCTCTCACACACGTGGCGAGCTACTCGCAGTGCTACGTGTGCTACTGCCGCCTGCACCCGCGCACCGGACACCTGCCCAGGATGCAGTGCGCGCAGTGCAAGAACAGGTTCCACGCGCCCTGCATGGTACGTGCCCCGCTCTATCTCTCTCTCTCTCTCTCTGTCTCTGTCTCTGTCTCTCTCACACACGTGGCGAGCTACTCGCAGTGCTACGTGTGCTACTGCCGCCTGCACCCGCGCACCGGTCACCTGCCCAGGATGCAGTGCGCGCAGTGCAAGAACAGGTTCCACGCGCCCTGCATGGTACGTGCCCCGCTCTATCTCTCTCTCTCTCTGTCTCTGTCTCTGTCTCTCTCACACACGTGGCGAGCTACTCGCAGTGCTACGTGTGCTACTGCCGCCTGCACCCGCGCACCGGTCACCTGCCCAGGATGCAGTGCGCGCAGTGCAAGAACAGGTTCCACGCGCCCTGCATGGTACGTGCCCTACCCGCTCTATCTCTCTCTCTCTCTCTGTCTCTGTCTCTGTCTCTCTCACACACGTGGCGAGCTACTCGCAGTGCTACGTGTGCTACTGCCGCCTGCACCCGCGCACCGGTCACCTGCCCAGGATGCAGTGCGCGCAGTGCAAGAACAGGTTCCACGCGCCCTGCATGGTACGTGCCCCGCTCTATCTCTCTCTCTCTCTCTGTCTCTGTCTCTGTCTCTCTCACACACGTGGCGAGCTACTCGCAGTGCTACGTGTGCTACTGCCGCCTGCACCCGCGCACCGGTCACCTGCCCAGGATGCAGTGCGCGCAGTGCAAGAACAGGTTCCACGCGCCCTGCATGGTACGTGCCCCGCTCTATCTCTCTCTCTCTCTGTCTCTGTCTCTGTCTCTCTCACACACGTGGCGAGCTACTCGCAGTGCTACGTGTGCTACTGCCGCCTGCACCCGCGCACCGGACACCTGCCCAGGATGCAGTGCGCGCAGTGCAAGAACAGGTTCCACGCGCCCTGCATGGTACGTGCCCCGCTCTCTCTCTCTCTCTCTCTCTGTCTCTGTCTCTGTCTCTCTCACACACGTGGCGAGCTACTCGCAGTGCTACGTGTGCTACTGCCGCCTGCACCCGCGCACCGGTCACCTGCCCAGGATGCAGTGCGCGCAGTGCAAGAACAGGTTCCACGCGCCCTGCATGGTACGTGCCCCGCTCTATCTCTCTCTCTCTCTCTCTCTGTCTCTGTCTCTGTCTCTCTCACACACGTGGCGAGCTACTCGCAGTGCTACGTGTGCTACTGCCGCCTGCACCCGCGCACCGGACACCTGCCCAGGATGCAGTGCGCGCAGTGCAAGAACAGGTTCCACGCGCCCTGCATGGTACGTGCCCCGCTCTATCTCTCTCTCTCTCATTTATTTTAATAAAATGTCATATACTTACGGACCAAAAATATTTAACTCCATTCTTACACATGTTTATACTATTTAACTTACTTGTAACAACATACTTATTACACGTGCCAATTTTAGTCCTTGCAACTTCCTAGTACTCTTATCGCTGGCACGTGGCACATACGCAACGCAGCTGCACGACCTATTATACAAGCCGTTGCTATCTGCGGCAGCGCGTGTGCGACACGTGTAACTTGGTATATAAGTTCAACATAAAAAAAACATCTATTCTGTCTCTCGCCTCTACCATTTGAAGCTTCCAGGTTCTCGACGAAATAGGTCCTAGACCTAAACCCTAAGGGGACATGTACAGATTCGCCCCCTTAAATACTTACGCCATCTAGTGATACAGTTGTAGAACTAAAAAATAAACCTCTCATTTGATTGTACACTGTATGTTTGTGGTGCAGCGCAAGTGGTTCTCGTCGAGCGGCAAGTCCAACTGCCCGCTGTGCCGCGCCGCTTTCTGATAGTACGCCAGCCGCCCCGAGGGCGACAATCTACAGAAGATAAAATTCCTCTCACCTCATGTATCTCTAGTACGGGGAGACTTCACCAGACCACGCTAATATGCTTTGTATAAGCCCACTGATACTCCGCATCTTCTAGAACAGTGGTTCCCAATTAGTTTTTGCTGCGTACTTCAAAAAGACCTCAAACCTAGCGTACCCCTTATTGTAGCAATCACACTGATATTACGACAAAAACCGAACTGGCGGGAAGCGGGAATGGATGTCGGTAACGGGGGCAGCCGAATGACGAGATGTGGCAACTGCACGGTCGGTCACAATGCTCAGTGCACGATCATCATCATCATCATCATCGCAGCCCGGAAGACGTCCACTGCTGGACATAGGCCTCCCCCAAAGATCTCCACGACGATCGGTCCTGCGCTGCTCGCATCCAATGCCTTCCCGCGATCTTGACCAGATCGTCGGTCCACCTTACTGGAGGCCTTCCCAGTGCACGATGATCGTTATAAAATAATATTTCGGAAATTGTTTTTTTTTACTACAAGCTTGATGCAACTTCACGTACCCCTGGAGGTACGCGTACCACTAATTGGGAAAAACCGTTCTAGAACGATGCTGCGTAACATAAAACGGCAATCAGAGGTCATCGGAATTAGTTTCGTACCTATTTATTAAATCATAGCTACTCGCCCCGGCTTCGCACGGGTGTACATGTTTTATATATATAAACCATCCTTTAGACTCACTCGTCTATTGAAAAAACAGCTTCAAAATCCGTTGTGTACTTTTAAAGATTTAAGCATACATAGAGACGGATAGACAGCGACTTTGTTTTATACTATGTAATGATAAAGTAGTAATTAATGTAAATTAATAAAGTATATTGAAATTCTGTTATTAAATAAATGTTTTTAAATACTGCTAGTAATAAATTTTCCTTATTATATTATACTAAGCGTCAATACGACGATTAAGAATATTCCGATAAATATGGAAATAATATTAATTATTTGTAAAAAGTACAGTTTTTAAAAATATAATGAAAATCTCTTGTAATGTTTCATTTAAAAGCGTGCAAATGCTTATAATCATATATAATTAAGTAATCTAATAAACCATAGTGAATTATTATGAATATAAAACCTTCTAGGCCATCTAAGTTTATTTTACTTTATTACACAATTATTCGAAATTCGAATTTTGAAAATTTATTACAAGTTTTTTTTATTACACAATGATTTGAAATTCGAATTTTGAAAATTTATTACAAAAGTTTTTTTTATTACACAATGATTCGAAGTTCGAATTTTGAAAATTTATTACAAATGTTTTTTATTATTACACAATGATTTGAAATTCGAATTTTGAAAATTAATTACAAAAGTTTTTTTATTACACAATGATTCCAAATTTGAAATTTGAAAATTAATTACAAAAGTTACGATACCATAACATGGCGTTTTTTATTTTGTAAATTACTTAATATTAAACACTAGTGGATAAAAGGAAATGGTATTATTTTATTGCATTCGTTAAACACATTGCGCTGTAAAATATATAATCTCTGGTTAAAACATTATTAAATATATTTATTTAATCTGTGTTATGTTTCTCCAGAGATACATAATACAGATACTGTCAGGGATTCCAACCGTACGGGATTTTGTGAAACTGCAATTGGTACGAACCTTGAAAGCCAAATTGTGCCAATATTCGAGAATTTTTACTTCTTTGTACGAGGATGTTTTATTAGGAAGGGAACCCTGCATACTATTTCTGTTTTATGTGCGTTCAGTCAGCCTGCAGTATTGATTTATTGTCTTTCAATTAGTTTCAATTCTTATTTGATAAGAGCCGATTAAGAATAGAATAGAATAGAAAACTCGCGTTGTGACTCGACTCCAGCTGCGTCACTCTCAATGTCAGGTTACTCTTGGTTCTTATATAATCGATAAAGTCCTCCATCATGGCATGGTCATGATCAGGGGCATGATCGAAATAAATTTAGTAAGCCCTGAAATGGCGCGATGCAAAGACAGATGGACTAATGTAACGACAAAATGGCCGGGCCCGACAGGCAAAAGAAAAATAGGACGGCAGAAAAAAAATGGACAGATGACATAAAAATCTTAGCTGGAATAGACTGGATGCGAACTGCCATGGATAGAGAGGATCGCGGAAGATGGAGGACTCTTTTACTCGAGGGGGGCCACATAATAAGAAAAAATAATAAATAGACAAAAAAAGATAATGAATGAAATTAAATAATATTTATTCAGTAGAAGAAAAAACTACATTAAACAAACAAAAAAAATATAACAAACAGTGCGACAATTACAAAAAAAAAACAGTACACAAATTACGTGTGTGCGTGTGTGTATGTTAGTCGAAGCCTCTACTGAATAGGTCCGTGCTCAGCATAATGCTGCAGCGGCTGGAGCGCTGCAACGCTGTTTTTCAGCACAAGACCTATATTGCCGTGTTGTACACGATTTTAATTAATATACATAAATACATATTTAGCTAAAATAGAGATAGTACATAAGACAAGGCGATAATAGATATAATAAGAATAATGTTTAAAATAAAAATATTATGTTGAAGACCCCTCCGATCGATCCCCCGTCAAATTCAAACGGGGATCGATATTACGACGGCCTGAGCCGAGGTTCGAACCCCTAGTACCTTAGACTAAAGTCGTATCCGTCAGGCAGGAGTTGGTCTTCAGCCGCTCCATAAGTCCTTCCTTTGGTTTGGAGTGCCACCTGCACTCGCCCCCTAACGACCGGTGAAGCTGAAAGGTCAGCTGCGGCCAATATCATTAGAGTAGTCCGAAAAAAAAAAGTGGAAGATTAAAGCTATAAAAGTCCTGAGAGGGATATTTACATATGAATAATGAATAACACAACTATATTGGAATGTTTTATTTTAATAGAGATCTTCATTGACTAGAAACATACTTATTTATAGATAATCAAATGAGGGTAATATCAGTTGTGTCGCGAAGGAAGCCGTGTCCAGAGGGTCGTTCAATGTGTCTGCAGCTGGTGGTTGATCCAGTCCATGTCCTCGTAGAACCGCGGGTCGCTCACGCGCAGCGCCGCCCGCTTGTAGAAGAAGTAATACCAGGGTGACACTGCAAATATTTTCACAATCTGATTTGCAAATTAAGGAGCCATGTTTATGGTATGGTGAATATATTGAAGGCCCGTCTATAGTCTATAGACATGATAGGAAATAAAGGCATTATAAAAACACAATGCCCTGGTAATATTTAGAATTAATTATCATCATAAATCATCATCATCATCATCATCGCAGCCCGGAAGACGTCCACTGCTGGACATAGGCCTCCCCCAAAGATCTCCACGACGATCGATCCTGCGCTGCTCGCATCCAATGCCTTCCAACGATCTTGACCAGATCGTCGGTCCACCTTGCTGGAGGCTTCCCACGCTGCGTCTTCCGGTCCGTGGTCGCCACTCGAGGACTTTACTGTCCCAACGGCCATCTGTCCTACGAGCTATGTGCCCTGCCCATTGCCACTTCAAAGTCGCAATTCTTCGGGCTATATCGGTCACTCTGGTTCTTCTGCGGATCTCCTCATTTCTGATTCGATCACGCAGAGTAACTTCGAGCATAGCCCATCATCATAAGTAAGTTGACTAATTTAAAATGATAATAGATTTTTAGTTTTTTACTGAGAGATGCTTGCGTGCTTTATCCAAGAAGGGTACTAATAATAGGCTTGTTATACTCATAGTATTAATATCGCACATACTGCCATGACGCACTCGTCATCCTACTGCGGCTACGCGCCGTGCAAAATTGTGAATCTGTGGCGTGTTGCGTTTGCGCGGGAAAAACTATCTACAAAAACGGCTTCTGCAGACATTCTTCTAAACTATTGTAGTTCTGATCACTCATTTTTTTATACTGTTCTTCATTACTTTATTTGTCTGTAAATTACTTTTATTACAATAAAATACTTATTATATATACAATAAAACGACAATAAAGCCCCTATAATCATACCACTAACATGCTTTAGGCATTTATAGGTGTTTATTATTTTAAGAGGTATTTTTATAACTTACTAGAAGGGTACGTACTTACGTAGGGTAGTTACGATAAATATAGGTATCTAATATTGTAATTAGGATTTTTTTTATATTAAACAGCAAATTGCATTGACTAATCTGAGGCGAGAATTTAGTGCGGACTGTTGACCCTATTGCTAGCAATATACCATGGTAGATTGACCTCCATGCGTTTCTCCTGAAACCATCATGTTGGGGTAACGGACCTGACCTCATGTTCATCTTATCATCCTCCACTGGTGCCCCGCCAGCGTAAACCGTTAGCGTACGCGAGTGCACCATTCTACTGTCGTCTATAGGAAATAAGATGGTGTACATACGGCATCTGTGCACAGTGAAGAGCAGTATGAGTAGCGGCGGGGAGACAGCGTCTGCGCGCGGCCACTTGTGCAGCAACCAGGCCGCGTGCAGCGCCACGCTGGCCGCCGCGTACGACGCCGCCGCCGCGCCCCACGCACCGAACCTGCGCACCAGCACGCCCACCAGACCAGCCTGCACACCACACCACACCACACCACACCACACCACACCCGTCACACGTGGCTCACACGTTGTTAGTAATGTAGATTGATAATCCCATTGCTAACAATGTACCATGTCAGGTTGACCTCCATGCGGTTCCCCCTGGAAACCATTGTGATAAATTCTTAGTGAATTTGTCACAATGGGCTAATTGACCTGACCTTATGCTCATCTTATCACCCTTCACTGGTGCCCCGCCAGCATAAACCGTTAGCGCAGGCAGGTGTACCATTCCATTATCATCCATAAAAAAACACTAAGCACACTACTCACTTAACTATCACAATGTGTAATACACATGTCAACTGTGTGAAACACATCAAGCTGTTATATGTTAATTAATTAACATTGTATTACATATTTCCTAACAAATCTGCGAGAAAAACAAATATGAAGTTGGTTGTCATACTTCATATCGTCAAGAGTCTTGATGGTATCTCAGCAATAAGATACTACATCATACATCTACTACAATTGAAATGCATCACTACATAGTATAAAACAAAATCTATGTTGCTGTCTGTCCGTCCCTATGTGTGCTTAAATCTTTAAAACTATCCAACAGAATTTGGAGATGTTTTTTTAATAGATAGAGTGATTCTAGAGGAAGGTTTATATGTATAATACGCCCGGGCGAAGCAGGGGCTAGTACCTAGTTTTTTCATAAAAAAAAGATGGAGTATTAGAATGATTATATTAAATATGGGCCTGCATATAGGCTAAAGGAACATGAGAAATGTAAACCACAAAGAACATAACATGAACATGTTTGTATGTAAGTTGGACTCTATTTTCCGCAATTAGCTTCTTATTTCGGCCATTGTGCATGTAAAACATACATAAACATATAACATAAATAAACATATACAAACACAGAACCATACGTATTTGCATGTCCATAAATAACAGTTATCTCCCATTAAATGAACTATCTTACATGTAAATTATACAAAAACCTATTAAAACTTGTATAATCTCACTTGAAATAAATATGTTGAGAAGAAGGTCATCAGCATTGCAGTGATAGACAGTATAAGAAACAGGTCCTGGAATCTGAAATAATAACATATTGATTCTACAATAAACCAAGTTCAACATCTGTAACAGACCAGTGGTTTCTCCTATAGGCAAAGGTTGTTGGGAAGAAATTTTTGGCTATTACTATTATATTATAATCATGCTCTTACAATTATTATCTCAGTTGGGGTAGTCAAAGGCACTGTAAATTGTCCTTGTTATCTGGGCACATGATGCCTACGGCTACATTTTACCGTGCACCACACACCATCGACAGGGATTTCATCCCCACACGCTGGAACCCAAGTGGTCTCGGATAGCGCGGTTTCAGAGGAGCTTCCTCCCGCGTACACTTAGATTGTGGAATGAACTACCTACCGAGGATTTCTCTAGAGACTACAGCATGGGGTTTTCAAGAAGGGTACATTAAGGTTTCTTAAGGGTCAGCGACACGCACGCTACACCCTTGCTGTTTCAGGCGTCCATAGGCTACGGTAACCATTTACCATCACATGGGCTGTATGCTCGTTTGCCACTATATAGTAGTATAAAAAAAAATATCAGTCTACCATTACAATTTAAAGTACCGCTTGCTTTTTTCCGATGGAATTTTGAATTGGGAATAGAAGCGTACGTTTCTGATTGCTTGGTGTTTACTTACATGAACAAAACGAGAAGCCCATCACGACTACGTGGAAATAAACTGATACAATTAAATAATAAGTCCAAAAACATAAAAAAAGAAGTTGGAAAAACAAACAAAACGAATATCTAGGCGTTGACAACTTCATTGTAACAAAATAAATTATGTGATTATTTTACTTTATAGTTTTGATTAAAGTCAACATTCATTATTATAATGGTTTGTTATTTTTCGTTTTTATATTGATTAAATTTCATAAATTTTCAAATGAAATTATATTTTATTGACAAATAAAGAAATACAGATCAAGCAGTCTGTTTTCCTTTTGGTATATTTACTTTACTCTTTGAATGAATCCGTCTGATCTGTGCTTCTAGGTAATAAATAAGGTGCTTTACTGTCATTGTCAATAGTTGACATGACGTCCTTCTGTCACTTAATATTACAATATTACATGCAACATCAAATCATAAAATTATTTTGTTTACTTCAATTAATTTATTGTAGTAGTAAATGATTGTGTTATTATTTCCGAAACAGTCATTTTATATAACAATTATAAAACTAAATATCTAAGTATCTCTAGTGTGTCAAGTTTAGTGTTGTTTACAATTTAATATACAAATTACTTTTCAGTAACCAGAATAAAATGTAAATAGAATCAACGTACATAGCGTGTTATTCATAAAAATGGCTTTATAGTACAACAATGGCAGGAGATCATGATCGTAACCGTCACAGTAGTGACCGCCACAGGTCTCGGAGCCGCGAAAGGCACAGAAGTCGAGACCGCGAGCGACGCGACCACAGCCGAGATCGTTACAAGGAGCACGAGCGTGGCCGGGACAGATACCGGGATCAGAGCAAGACTCGTGACAGAAATTATGGCCACAATTCCCACAAAGAGTACTCGGGGGGCGGTCTGGGTGGTGGTATGTTTGTCTTATTATAAATATTAATTTATTTATTAGGTTGATAAGAAAAAAATACTGCCCAATTACGCTAATGGAATACGCTGGCGGGGCACCAGTGAATGATGACCAGATGAATAGATAACAAGATGAGTCAGGTCAAATACCTCATTGCAAAGGAACTATGAGGATCACATGGAGGTCACTAGTCTCCCCTACTAACAATAATTTCGCCTCTTATATTAGTGTATTGTTGATGGGAAACATGGCATATTTATCCCATTATTATTTTTTGTGAAGTTATTAGCGTTAAGAAGCTGGTTTGAGTAGCTAGTTTCTAATAAATTATTAGTATATCCATATTACAAGGCTTATTAGTTTGGGAGTAGATAGCACTGTGTACATCGTCTAGGGCTATTACTAAAGGTTCTTTATGTGCATCACAGGTTTAGGCAGTAGTGGTGGCGTGGGACCAAGAGGTAGATATAAACCACAAGAGGAAGAATTTCTAGACGCGAGGAGAGAGGAGCGGGAGCGAATTGGTCAAATTGGTGTCTCCTCAGTATGGGGCAAGTCACCCACGAGACCTGAGTGAGTACATTCTTATTAATTGCTGTTTGCTAAACTTGTGTAGGGCATTCGAGGTGTCCTGGATTTGGTATTGCAAGTGTTTGAATTCAATTTTGTCAATTAGAAAGATGAGAATATGGCAGACTCAAGAGGTTGAACCAATTTCATGGAAAGTTGCCTGAATTCAAATTCATGAAATCTTTGGGATAATATTCAGTTTCATGACAGACTGACTTTTCATTAGTTTTATTACTTACTTTAATTATACTTTTCTTTTTAATTAGATAGTTGATTTAATTGTCTAATGGCAAAAAGATACAAATTATATTTTTCTGCTTTTCAGTTCAGAAGATGAGACATCTCAGACAGATATCACAAATGGTGGCAAAGAGAAAAAGAAAAGCAAGAAGTCAAAAGATAAAACAAAAGAAAAAGATACAAAACAGAAATTAAAGAAACTGAAAAAGAAATTAAAGAAAGTTAAAAAGGCTCGGAAAAAAGCAAAAAAGAAATCTAAGAATTCAAGTAGTGATTCCGATTCCAGCTCTGAAGAGGAGGTTTGGGTGGAAAAGGGAAGTAAGTTAATATTGCCTTATGTTTGTTGATGAGAAAGTGTAATAATATTAGTAATCTCTATTTATTTGAATAAATGAAATTTGAATTTTTGAATATAATAAAATTTTAAGATATTAATCAAGGCAAAAGGGTTTACAGTCACAAGGTACAACACAAGGGCAGTAAAGCCACCTTGTCTGATATTTTAGATTCATATTGATTTTGGTGGGTTAGTGATTTTACTGTTTGTGTAATCTTTTATGTAAGTTCTATTGGATCAGAGTGTGCCTACACTTATAATATTTCTATCAACATTCGACATGTTACGACGCATTACTAATGTAGCACACTTTCCAATAAGTTTACTAATGTACAATAAATAGTACAATAATCTCACCCGTATACTTATTACTTAGATATCACAATAAACAATAAATTATGTAGCGACATCTCAGCACATCATCAAATTATCATATATAACGTTACAATGGTGAGGGTATAAGGGTACTGCAAAAGTAATATTGGGCTTAATATCGATGACTGTAAAGTAGAGACCAGATGAAGAGATGTAATTGAGGTGCTCTATTTCCAGAAGAAGTGGAAAGCGTTCCGGGTGGCCGGTCGTGGAGTGCGGGCGCGGCGGAGGAGGAGCCGGGCCCCGTGCCGCGGGCCGGGCCGGCGCTGGCGGCGCGGGACTTCGGGCGCGCCCTGCTGCCCGGCGAGGGCGCCGCCATGGCCGCCTACGTCGCGGAGGGCAAGCGCATCCCGCGCCGCGGGGAGATCGGACTCACCTCCGACGAGATCGCCTCCTACGAGGCCGTCGGATACGTCATGAGCGGCAGCAGGCACGTACCCACGTCCACACGCACACGCTCACAGGCCGACTAATATAATATTACTTTAAAAAGAGTGAGATAGTAAACGTCGTATTGACTATATTATATCATGTTGAATTGTCTGCATTCTCCTGAATTGCTAGCTAGTATCCACCTATTATAGTATACTTTATTTTACGTAGTTAACCATCAATTTATTTTTTTCTTTTTTAATATCTTTATTCATGTAGGTCTATTACAGACTCTTATGATATGTCAAATCTACCGTAAGTTCGAGATGAAAAGAACTTACAAGAAACGTATTCCTTTCAAATCAAACAAAGTGTAACTATACGAAATGTATCTATTTAACTATTTTATTAAGATCCAAATAAATAAAAATTAAATTGTATGTTTATAGACATCGCCGCATGGAGGCCGTGCGTATCCGCAAGGAGAACCAGATATATTCAGCGGACGAGAAACGAGCTCTCGCCGCCTTCAGCAAGGAGGAGCGCGCCAAGAGGGAGAACGCCATCCTCTCGCAGTTCAGGGACGTGCTGCAGGCGCGCGCGCAACGCCGGGACACATGACTCTACTCGTGATATTCGTATTGTAATAAATAACACCACACTCGAGAAATATCTTTTATTTTACAACAATAATATTTTTTACATGACATGTCTGGTCAGCCATTAACAAAGATCGAGAACTATAAACTTTAACCTTCACTTATTTGTCAGTAAACGTGAACCCATCACACGCATGAGATGTTCTAAGAACGGGTCGGTGATGTGATTCATATTTACTGAACTATTTTAGAGCTAAATATAAAATAAATCCATTTTTGATTCAAAAATCGATTCGAACGAAGATATAATTTGTACAAAAGTATAAAACGATTTGATTCTTTTACACGTACACGAAAATTAGTAAAATGCTATCACTCATGATTTCGCGCTGGCGTTCCAGCACTAAATCACAATAAGCTTTTAACCCTGGACGATACACACAGCGCCCTCTAGTCCCGAGCTTAACAAAGCTTGTGGTGTAAATACATGGATGGAAAATTTTTTTTGGTGAACATATATACATAAAAAACGCCCAGTGGGGCTGTGTTATTTGTCCTAAAACAATCATACTCATGAATACAAATATTTGTACCGTATGAGTGACCCTCGGAAGCTGGTGTGCTAAACCGTTCGAGGTCGTCAGTGTCACCGTGTCGTGTAAAGGCAGGTATTGTCGAATAAGGTGCGGGTTGAGTGAGTCCGCACGTCCACGAGTGGGAGGGGGAGGGGGAGGGGGCGGGGGCGGGGTCAATGCGGGGCGGCGGGCTCGTAGCGTGCGAGCCGCGCGCCCGGCACGACGCCAGCTCACACGACTGAGCTCCAGACACCGCGGACACTCGCGCGGGGCGGCGGGCTCGTAGCGTGCGAGCCGCGCCCGGCACGCGGCCAGCTCGGCGGCGGGGGAGGGGGAGGGGGAGGGGGCGGGGGCGGGGCGGCGGGCTCGTAGCGTGCGAGCCGCGCCCGGCACGCGGCCAGCTCGGCGGCGGGGGAGGGGGAGGGGGAGGGGGCGGCCGGGCCAGGGCGGGGCGGCGGGCTCGTAGCGAGCGAGCCGCGCCCGGCGCGCGGCCAGCTCGGCGGCGGGGGAGGGGGAGGGGGAGGGGGCGGGGGCGGGGCGGCGGGCTCGTAGCGTGCGAGCCGCGCCCGGCACGCGGCCAGCTCGGCGGCGGGGGAGGGGGAGGGGGAGGGGGCGGGGGCGGGGCGGCGGGCTCGTAGCGTGCGAGCCGCGCCCGGCACGCGGCCAGCTCGGCGGCCAGCCCGGCGGCGGGGGAGGGGGCGGGGGCGGGGTCAGTGCGGGGCGGCGGGCTCGCAGCGAGCCGCGCCCGGCGCCGCGGCCAGCCCGGCGGGGGCGGGGGCGGGGGCGGCCAGCTCGGCGGCCGCGGCCAGCTCGGCGGCCAGCCCGGCGGCGGCGCGGCGAGCCGCCCGCAGCTGTCCGCGCAGCATCTCGCGCTCGTCGGGGACCACCGCGGGGGCGGGGGCGGAGGCGGGGGAGGGGGCCGGCAGTCTGCCGCCGCCCTTGTTGACCACTATCCGCACGGGCGTCGGCATCGACTTCAGCGGCGTGGCGTCCAAACTTACCACCTGCCGGTCACGTAACACCAAAGAAAAGAAATATTTCAAACATTATTTAAGTATGCAAATCGACGACTAGAGCTTACAGTATCCTCATTCAAAGATGTATTATATACATTTTTTTCTTAATAATAATATTTTTGGTACGTTTCGCTTTGAAACAATAAAAGTTGTGAGCTATGGTTGTTATCTATGATTTCACACTTTATTTTACGTTACATACTACCATACTACGAGAAAAGCTGTAGCCATCGAACAACTATTAAAAAAAATAGATCTTAAATCTATACTTAATTACATTATAATTACCCTAAAAATTAGTTTGATGGTGATCTATGATCACTGAGCATATAACCAACGATACTTTGTTCCAATAGAACTTAGAGAAAAGATAAACATAGTGATCACTAACTTGACGATGCCGATAACAGACGATTAAAAAAATAATAATTGTATTAAATATTACGATTTGTTCGACTATATTAATTATACATGATTACAAAATACTAGTATGCCTGACGAAAATCAAAACCCCTTAAAATATAATAATGTATTTAGTATAAAGGCGAAAGTTTAAAAATAAGTATTCTGTATCCAATTAAAATTGTATATAATTAAAATTTGTATTATTCACTATTTACAATAATACGCCCAGCAACATTGTCGCTACAAAAATAATGAGTGTATCCAGAGCCACAAAACCAAGGGCCTGAAAAAAATGTTCGATGTCATTTGTCGGTGTAAAAATTTGGCGCGTTTTCGTATAATTAAAATAAAATGTCACTTGTTTTTAGAACAGTATTAAATAAATTAACTATTTTTTTTCTTACATTCGTTTAACCATTGACTATAGAGTTTTTTTATAACGTCGTTCATTTTGCTCACATTTTTGTGTAATATTTTTCAAATACAATTTAGAAAGTGTTTACAAATAAATAGTGTTACAAAAAGTGGTGATATATGCTGTTAAATAGCTCAAGATTCGGATAATTGTGTTACTATTTCTATTAAGCGGATCTACATATGACAACTTTTAAGATAAAATCTTTGTTTACAATATCCGTAAGTTATATTGAAAATTGAAACAGTTTCTACTCGTATGTATATATTACACTGGTTATTTAGTATTTTAGCTAGTAATAAAATATATCTTTGGAATTATCATTCAGAATATCCAATTTCTAGTTACCTGCATGTCTTGCGTGTTGAGCACCTTCTTGATGGGTAACTTGTTGGTGTCCTTGGGTAGTGCGAGCAGTTTGTTGTTGATGGTGAATATCTTGACGCCGGGCTTGGGCGGCGTCCTCACGGGCGTCGCCGTCAGCACCACGCCCTTCTGCTGACACGCGGCTTTACTCACGATCGTGGGCGCGGCCGGCTGAGACGCTTCTTTCGTTCCGCTTTCTTTTAACATTAACTTTCCTGCATCTGTGATCAGAAAATAATTATTTAATATTTGAGAGGATGAAAAAAATATTATAATGAAATATTACCTGTATTTGGTTGGAGTACTTACCTATTTATATTTGGTTTTAACTCACCTATACTTTTAGTACTTAAAACTTTAGTTAGAAGGAAAATAGTGATGTTGATAACTAGGAAGTTATTAGTTACGGTATGGACGTACCGACGACGGTGCAGAGGGGGCACGTACCGGAAAGGACGAGGGTGCAGAGGGGGCACGTACCGGAAAGGACTACGGTGCGGAGGGGGCACGTACCGGAAAGGACGAGGGTGCAGAGGGGGCACGTACCGGAAAGGACGAGGGTGCAGAGGGGGCACGTACCGGAAAGGACGAGGGTGCAGAGGGGGCACGTACCGGAAAGGACGAGGGTGCAGAGGGGGCACGTACCGGAAAGGACGAGGGTGCAGAGGGGGCACGTACCGGAAAGGACGAGGGTGCAGAGGGGGCACGTACCGGAAAGGACGACGGTGCAGAGGGGGCACGTACCGGAAAGGACGAGGGTGCAGAGGGGGCACGTACCGGAAAGGACGAGGGTGCAGAGGGGGCACGTACCAAGGGGGGCACGTACCGGAAAGGACGAGGGTGCAGAGGGGGCACGTACCGGAAAGGACGAGGGTGCAGAGGGGGCACGTACCGGAAAGGACGACGGTGCAGAGGGGGCACGTACCGGAAAGGACGACGGTGCAGAGGGGGCACGTACCGGAAAGGACGACGGTGCAGAGGGGGCACGTACCGGAAAGGACGACGGTGCAGAGGGGGCACGTACCGGAGAGGACTACGGTGCAGCCGCTCTGCAGCGCGCTGAGTACCGTGCTGCCGTCGTCGGCGGGCAGCAGCGTGATGCCGTGCCGCCGCAGCAACGCTTCGGCCGCCGTCTCCCCGTGCGCGTCCGTCCGTCCCGGCCGTCTGCAAGTAACGCTGACTTATTACTTATTATCCCTCGCGTAATAACAATGCGACATTGCTGAGCGAGTTGACTATACCTCCAAGTTGTCCTCAGTCTTGATCGGTCGCTTTTCTGCTCTCGGTACGGTCACTTTAACCTCCTGTATTCCTGAAAGGCAGTAAATTTTGGATTAACATCATTAATCAAGTATAGAATAGATATAATGGGTATTACTGGCTGACATTACTTTGTGCCGCGGGAAATTCCATCTGTCGTGCTTCATTTGTGTCGTGCAGCATATCATCTGAAACGTAACGATTTATAAATCCGAAGCCGAGTATAAAAACCACATGTCATAAGATGAATAAAAAATGTTGAAGCGAAGTCAAATTGATTAATTTTGTTATTTAATTAGAAGTTGATATCTGAGTTTGAGCGTGCGCTCGGTATAGTCTGTCGGCGCGGTGTGTAACACCTGTTGAATTAGGGCGGTACTTGGAGGTACCGCTGGTGAGTGAGGCGGTACCTGGGGGCGCCACTGGTGAGTGAGGCGGTCCCTGGGGGCGCCACTGGTGAGTGAGGCGGTCCCTGGGGGCGCCACTGGTGAGTGAGGCGGTCCCTGGGGGCCCCGCCGGCGAGTGAGTGTGTACCTGGCGGCGCGGGCGGCGCGGGCGGTCCCTGCGCGTCGAGCAGCGCACTGGTGGCGGCGCGGCGGCGGCCGCCGGCGGAGTGAGGCGGTACCTGGCGGCGCGGGCCGGCGCCGGCGAGTGCGTGTGTACCTGGCGGCGCGGGCGGCGCGGGTGCGCGTCGAGCAGCGCGAGCAGGTGCGGGTGCGCGTCGAGCAGCGCGAGCAGGTGCGGGTGGGGCGGGCGCGCGCAGGTGCGGGTGGCGGGCGCGCGCAGGCGAGCGCGGCGTGCGGCCGAACTTGCAGACGGCGGCGACGTCGGCGCCGTGGCGCAGCAGCGCGGCGGCCACGTGGCGGGGTCCGCGCGCGGCGGCCCAGTGCAGCGGCGTCATGCGCAGCATGTCGCGGCAGTCGGGCGCGGCGCCGTGCTCCAGCAGCAGCCGCGCGACGTCCGCGTGGCCGCCGTAGGCCGCCAGGTGCAGCGGCGTGCGGTCCACCTTGGTGCGCGCGTCCCGCGA